TATATATATATATATATATATATATATATGTATATGTATATATATATATATAATATATATATATATGTATGTATGTATGTATGTATGTATTTATTTTTTTAATGACCAGCTCTGCTGGTCTCACTCGATCCTCTCCTCCGGAGACAGGACGGGCAAGCTCATCTTCCCAGCTCCGAGCTCAGCTGGTGACTCGCAGAAGGCCGTTGCCAGACCCCAGCCTCGTGTCATCATGAAGGCCTGACCCGCGCAGACAGGCGGACAGAGACGGGTCTGCGATGAATGGTGGAAGCGATTTTAAAAAACATTTTACGTGTAAAAAAAACAAAAAACTTTTTTTTAAATCGCTTCAGCAATTTTTTAAAACATTTTTTGTATAAAAAAAATAATAATAATAATTTATTTAAAAATCGCTTCCACCGTCCGTCCCAGACTGTCTAGTCTGCCTGACTGCCGGGTGGGATCGGGATTCGGCCTTCATGATTACACGAGGCCGTGGTCTGGCAACGGCCTTCTGCGAGTCCCCATCTCCAGCTTCGCAGTGACCAGCGGTGCTCTGAGCACACAAGGCTGGTATCCATACCATACCATACCATACCAATTTATTTATATAGCACTTTAAACAGTGACAAAGCACACCAAAGTGCTGTACAGGGACAAACAGAACAAGCACATAGCAACAGATTACATAACAGGACACCAAAAATGTAGAAACCGACAAAAACAATAATGGATAACAACAACAACTGCAACATGACCAACACAGTGTGATGCACACAGACTCAGCACAGATCACACAGTGCTGAAAGCCAGGGAATAAAAGTGTGTTTTTAAGCGAGATTTAAAAACTGTGAGGGAGGGGGCCTGTCTAACGAGCAGAGGTAACTCATTCCAAAGTTTTGGGCCTGCTACAGAGAAGGCCCTGTCACCTCTGCGCTTGAGGCGGGTTCCTGGGACTGTTAGGAGCAACTGGTCTGCTGATCTGAGAGAACGTGGTGGGACATACGGCTGGAGCAGATCAGTAAGATAGGAGGGGGCAGAGCTGTTTAGTGATTTACATAGTATTTATATATATTTATATATATAGTATCCGGAACTCGAGCCTCTGAGTCGGCACAACGAAGGATCTTCCACGGTGACCAGCAGAACTCGGAGCCGGATAGATGACGCCCTGCCCGGCCTGGCGCTCCGAGGCTCCGGGGGGAGGACCGGGGTAGACCAGCAGAGCTCCATCCTGCTTGCTCTGAATTATGTCGTCAGCCACCAAGCACAAAAAACGCCAGCACATCATTATTAGTTGATGTGCACTGTTAACTGCTGTAATTACACATCAGTCACAAAAAACTCAAGAAAATGTCTGATAATAATGTTGTTATTGCTCTCAGGAATTCAACCCAATCCTGGACCCCCCACTAATTACAGCACACCAAATGACTTTAAAAACGCCTCTGGGCTTCATTTCCTGCATGTAAACGCTCGTAGCCTTCTGAAAAAACTTGATGCTGTGAAAATCCTGGTCAGTTCTTCTGGGGCTGATGTTATCTTTATTTCTGAGTCCTGGCTCAACAAATCTGTAATGAATAATGACGTGGCAATCAATGGATTTAACATCTACCGCTGTGATCGTCAAAAAAGGGGGGGGTGGAGTCATTATTTACATTAGAGATACCCTGGTTTCAAGTCTTGTGACTTTCAAAACAATTCCAAACCAGTTTGAAGCCTTATCTGTAAACATCACCTTGAATGGAGGCCAGGTTTTAACTGTAGTCTGCTGCTACTGCCCCCCCACAGCTTCACCTGAAGCATTAAATGCCATTAAGGAATTCCTTGGTAATTTAAAATTCACAGAGGTCTTTTTGGCTGGAGATCTCAACATTGATTGGTGTAAGTCGACCCCCCTCTGTGACAAATTCAAGGAATGTTGCTTGTCTTTTAATTTAACCCAACTGATCGACTCCCCCACCAGATTAAATAAAAGCCATCCTGACAATTCCTCCATCTTAGACCTGTTTCTAACTAATATGCCTCACAAATTCCCTGGTACAGGTGTATTCGCTGATCTTTTGAGTGATCATTGTGTGACAGCGGCTTTAAGAAATAGTAAACTTCCACCTTCTAAGCCCAGATTAATTAAAAAAAGGGATCTGAAACATTTCTGTGAACAGTCATTCCTCTGGGATCTGTCTCACTTTGACTGGCATTGTATTCTGTTAACTGATGACGTGAACTCTGCTTGGAACTATTTCCATAATAATTTCATTTATTTCCTGAACTTACATGCTCCTTTTCGTCAGTTCAGAATAAAGGGACGAGACAGCCCCTGGTTTACTCCAGAGCTAGCTGACCTCCTGCACAGGAGAGATCATCTTTGGGCCGCAGCGAGAAAATCTGACTCAGACACTGATTGGTTGAGTTTTCGACAGATGAGGAATAAATGTACAACTGCTGTCAAAGCAGCAAAACGAAACTATTTCTTATCTCAGACTTCCAAAAATCTAAATGACCCTAACAGATTCTGGAAAACAATTAAATCTCTCTCAGGCACCCCCCAATCATCTGACCTCCCATCACAACTTCTCGTTAACTCTGCTCCTGTGTCAAATAAGCACGAGATCCTGAACTGTCTCAACAAACATTTTGTTGCTTCTGGTTCTTTATTTGACACAGTAACTAATGGAAAATCAGCCACTTCACTTAATAACCAAACTTCTACAAATCAAATCCCTCCTACAAGTCAATCCTCAGTTAATCACACCTTCTCTTTTTCTCCATTCTCAGTCAGTGAGGTCAATAAACTGTTAAAAGATCTTGATCCTAAAAAATCTGCAGGTCCAGATGAACTTCCACCTTATTTCTT